GGTTCTCGAGGAAATGACCGGTCTTCAAGGCTACCTGTTACGAGAACACACGTGTACGCCTCTTCTGGTCGTCGCCGTTGCTTAGATGGAAACCTGAACGAGAAGAAGAAACGCGGTGGATAGTGCGCCGCCGTCAGACGGTGCGCGCCGAAGTGGCCGCCGCCGCCGCCGTCGTCGTCGTCGTCGTCGTCGTCGTCTCGCCTAGTCCGACATTTATTTCACTCTCGGGCCATTGGCCTCGGCGTGTCTGAGAACACGTGGAGCTCTCCAGCTACGTGAAAACCGCGAGACGGTAGTATTTTCCGCTTGTGCGATTTCATTTTCTGTTATCAACGGGTCGTCTGCTTTCCGCGCGAGACCGCCGGATAAAACGAGTCTGTTCAATTACTCGAGCGAGACTACCTCTGGCTTACTATTCGCGCTGTTACGTTAACTACGAGAACTTTTATTTCCGCGAGAGAGTGATTTGTAGACCTCGTCGAGATCTCGTCTCTCGCGCTTTAAATTGTTTTTTGTCTTTCATTCTGTCAGCCGCAGGTCGCGGCTCGTATCATCTCAAAGTTTGGAGGTGCCTACTGTGTTTTACATATAATACTTTCTCTCTCTCTCTCTGGATAAATATTATTAAAGGTACAAATATATAATTTCGAATGTTTCGTTTTTGAAACTGACAATAAACCGCGGAAACTGGAACTTTGTGTGATAGAGTAAAACGTTCAATTATATTGGCATCTCTTTAGTAATCGACACTCTAGAAGTAAATCTTTCATGCGATCAACATTGCAGTCAAACTTTTTGCCTGCACGCAATGATTTAAAAAAAAAAACTTTACAACTAAAACTGTATAAACAGCCGCCACGAAAAGCCAGACTTCGCAAGAAGCATCAAACTTTTCTCAATTGTCAATAACCAAAGGGGACCAATAATTGAGTGTCAATAATTAGCTATTCTACCTTATTTTGAAGTCAAGTGCGACGAAGGTAAAACATTTCCCACTTCAGACGCAGGAAGGACGCATTGTTGAAAGGTATTGTGCAGAGCCGCTGATCGTTCATTGATGCGTCCAGTCTAGACGGCTCGAATCTATCCGGCTAGATAAATAGTAAAGGCGACAGATAGACGCGCGCGTGTTTATCCGGGCGACAAAACCGCCACGCCCTTTATCAGCAAATAATCAGTCGGTGTGTGTGCGCGTCACGCAAATCGCGCGTATCGATCCTCGGCAGCAGGACCTCGACCTTGGTCCTTGAAATGTTGCCGGTGCGTCGACCCCGTCTGAAAACGCCGTGTACGAAGACCACCACCATGAAGGGCATGACTGTGTTGACCGCTGATTTCTATACAGCGCGTATCGAGCGGTTGGTCCGTTAGAAGCGGAAGTACAGATATATTTATAGTCGTCGCACGCGCGATTCCGCTGATTTTTATCACTTGGGGGTGAATTCGCAACTGGCGTGAACAGCCGGTCGATATAACTCGGCGGGAAGATAAGATCTCCCGACGTAAAATCGAGACGAGGAGACAAAAGCGAAGTGTGGCAATTCAAAGCCGTATACCCGCTATGTTAATTAGATCGGTCGGCTTCGTATTACGGTTTATTTCTACGTCGATCCTGTGCCTGTTATATCATCGCCGATGTCGCATTGTATTTACCTCTCCGCGTTATCATCAAGTATCAGCGCATAGGTGTTGAACGAAGAAATCAATAAATTCTAAATATTTCGCAAACTAGACCAGCAGAAAAAGGCGATTTTCGAGATGAACAAATATTTTTTTATTTTGCAAGGAGCGAACGAAAAGAGCCACAAGCATCCTTTTTCATAGAACGCGCGATTTTGCACTTAGAGTAATGTTCATTATGCTATATTTGAGGTAAAAATACCTGGACACGTACCTAATCTTGAACATTATTATTGTGCTGGTCTTTAAATACGACCACTTAAACATTTAATATAAAAAAAATGAATATATATATATATATATATATATATATATATATATATATATATATATATATATATATATATGGAATATTATATATATTCTAATAAATTTAAATACTTGTATTTAAAGACTAACACAGTAAAAATCTTCAAGATTAGATATGTCCAGACATTTGTACTTTTACCTTACGGTTTAATCAACGGTGAAAACGCATAGACGATAAGCTAATCGCTTGGATCCGCATCGGGTACAAAGTAACGGCGGTGCTCGTCGACAATGGGGAAACGTATTTTTCTGCCGATTTTCTGTGCTCTAATGAACGTCTATTCAGAGACTAGAGTCACGACGCGACGCCTTGACTTGCCTTGCCTTGGCTTAGCTCGGTCTGGCTCTCCTCGTGCTTTCACCGATACGATTTTGTTTTCTCCCGCGAAGGGGGATCAAACGGAGAAGAAGAAGCAGCCTTTCCCCATCGGGAGCACACGCCTTTGAACCCATGAATTGTAGCGCGCGATATATCATCGCGGTATCACGGGTATCACAATGGAGCACCGCCGCAATATGCCAGTCTGCGACGTGACGCCGCAGAATTTTGCCACTTTGCACAAAGAGACTCCCGACAGGCCGCCATGTGGGAGTCCAATATCGCGTGGGAGTTATTCTCAAGAGGTCGGTAAGGGGTTCCAACTTCGTCTTCTTGATTGAACGAACCGACGCCATAGTGCCACCACTACCCCGATCGACCAACGATTCCACGACACTGAGGTTGCTTGGGTCGAAACAGAGTATCGATACTTCGACTTTTTCATCGTCGTGTAGTGCCAAGTACCGCTTTTGCGTTATCAGACGAGAGTTTTCCGGAAATATTTTTCCTCTGTTAGTATCACTCGTAACAATCAAGGAAAGTTCTTCCACGGCGGCGAAAATAGATGAGCAACGAAAGAATAAGTGAAAGCGTGTCACTCTTGGAGTATCTATGTTCAGTTTTATTTCGTTTCGTCATACTTTTCACTGATTCTCAGTTTACCATTTGGATAGTTAAATTGGTTAATTCAATTAAAGCATCGATTTATTTGTAATTTTGAAAGATAGACAAATTTCCCGCTTCTTCTTTTGAATATCTCTAAGAAAGAGTAAAAATCATGAAATCTCAATCTTCACAAATAACAAGAAGCTTTTGAGGAAGAGATTCAAAGATTCAAATTGAGCATGCAGTGCTCCCTGGTGCTATACCAGAGGGCTAAAACATTGACCTGTGACTATAACAAAATATCTCGGCTCTAGCGAAGATAGCGTGAGCATCCACCCTACCCGTACCTCGGCTTCCATCCACGTCGAGACGTTCCCGTTTCAATACGCTTGGTTCGCCGAAGAATGTAGGAAATGAGATCGATTAACAAAGTTATGCTCATCAAGGCACGCCCTCGGGCTACAGTCGCGCAAATTGCCACGATCTCCGACAAATGAAGACGAATCGTGTCTTACGCCACGATGATCTACAGTTGTGAGTCGTACTGTTGACCGATTGAACTAGCTGTAGTAATTAGAACTCGGGAACAAATTGCCAATATATAAAACCAATGTTAGATTATGCCCCAGGTTGAGACTTTTTCCCCTTCAAATCGCTACGCGAGTCGTTTAATTGGTTTAATATCATCGAGCAACTTGGGAGGAAACATGGAATAACCATCCTCGCTCGAGCAGACTTTGCTCTCGATTCCTCTCGAGGAAATCGCGTATCCTGTTGACGCAACGATTGTCAATTTCCGTAGATCAGCATCCACGGATCCGTCGGAATCTAATTTTCTTCCTGTAGATTGGGGTACATTCGGAAAATTTCCGTGATTTAATCTGCTTCTCCACGTCATCCCTCCCGGTGATGATTCAAAGCTGCGTGGAAGGCAAACGAAGGATTACATTAGATATCTTTCACGAGACGTCTGTTGTTATATCGTCGGCAATTGCTTTGTCAGGGTTTCGTATTTAATAAAATCGGGATTAGCTTTACGAAACTCTGAAAATCTTTTATCGTCTTACACTCTAAGGCATTTAAACTTTAAATATACGCGTAGAGTGTCTCTCAGAGACCCAACCTTCTCTCTATCACAGGTATCCAAAATGTACCCAGAGGAATGACTAAAATCGATGTAAGAAGAGATTAAAGTTCATAATCTCAATGCTATCAAAATCTTAATGCTTGAAAGTTCATAATCTCAATGTTATCAAAATCTTCATGCTTGAATCGAATATTTCCCAAAGAAAAAATGTATTTCGCTGTTATCCAAAATCCGCAATTCGAATGAAACGTATGCGGCATCGTATGTAATCACACTACGTCCAATGTTACACTTGAGAAATTTTTATACAGTCTGTTAAACATTTTATTCGCATGCAGAGAACGCAAGGACTATTCCGTAATCGTCGGATATTCTTTTCGCGAGCACGTTCGCAAGACTTTCGCGGTACCGACTGTTATTGATCAGCAAGAGAAGCTTCGAAGCCGGGAGCAGCTGAGCTACCCTTGTCCTTTTCCTATGCCCTGAGTCTGTGCGCGCACGTGGCCGTCGCACCCCATTCATAACAACCCCCAGCGGGCACCCTAAGACCACCCTAACCGAGGCAGCACAGCTGTTGCCATGGGAGACATATCGGTACCTTATTAAGACAGTTCGATAGCGCCGCTCCTTTAACGAGTTTTATCGGCCAAACGTAGCGGAGAGCCGCGCTTTTATCGCTTTTGCTACGCTTTTGAACGCGGCCGACTATTCTAACGAGAATACAGAACTTTGATGTCGAGCGACGACAGCAGCTCTTAATTGCGAGTTACCTTTTAGCAACGCGTGGCCTGTTTCGGCCTCGAGTGTTGAGTATGAGGAGAGGGTGTGTGTGTTTGCATTTATGACGATCGTTCCAGTTTCCCGTAGAAACTAAACGCGACGTCACTCGAAGCTATTCTCTGCTCTCCTTTCCTTCTTTTAACGGAAATAACTGTCGTCGTCGCACCACTTTGTTCTTTAGCACGTTGTAAAGATGAATATCTGTTCCTTCTGTTGCAGATCTCTCGAAGAATCGTTTCAGTGAGTTACCGGAGGAAGTCACCGAATTTCCATTCCTCGAGAAGCTGCACCTCTACCATAATGCCATAAGAATAATCCCGGACACCGTCGTTATGCTCCAATCCCTCAACTACCTCGATCTTAGGTTAGTACACACGTTTTATATACTGGTCTGTGTGCGATGTAATATCTACGTCAATCTACGTCATTTGTGGTATATCACACGCGTAATAGCGTCGATAACGCTTTACTATGTTAAAGGAACGTTCTGAGTTACTATTGAGTTTGCTTGGATTCTTTTTATATTATGAATAAAAAGGGATATGAGAGATTTCATTTAAAAAAAATGAAGGGACCTTTTTTACGAGAAAAGAACGTTCCCAAAATTTTTATTGTTTTATTTTATTGCCGTTCAAAAACTAATTAATTGCATCTAGAACTTTTTTCTGTCCGAGCATTGCAACTGGTAAAATTATAGTGAATGCATATCTTGTATAACATACGGAAAAAAGTTTGGACTTACTAAATTTCTCGTGAAATATAAACGAATCAGAAATTCCGGTTGAAATTACCAGAATTCTGCACAAGTTAACAAAATTTCTGATAAACATCAACCGGAAATTTCTGTTCGTACTCGTAATAGAATTTTGATTAATTCAAGCTAATATTTTTTCCACAATTGTAAACCTAAATTAAAAAATTTCAAGTGATTATATGTCTGAAATGTTTATCAACGGATATGTTTACCAGTTTAAATTTCAATGAGCTTACATTGATTTAAAAAAAAGACAAAATTATGTTGTAAAATATTGCGCAAGTCGTTATTCATTACGCGATGCTTTCATCATTACCGCACGATAATTGATTCAGTCGCTCGTTTAAAAGAAACGAGAAAATTTTCGGAAAACACGAGACCATCCGCTAAAGGGGATAACATTCTGATTCGCAGTCGAAACCAATTGACGTCGCTACCTCGAGAGATATGCAGGCTACCCCTTCAGATCTTGCTAGTCGCGCACAACAGATTAGCATCTCTGCCGGACGAGCTGGGCAGGATGACGACGTTGGCAGAACTGGACGCAGGTTGCAATGAAATCACGAACCTTCCACCTCGAATGGGCGACCTTGCGCAGCTCCGGTCTCTAGACCTGAGGAGCAACTTGCTGGTGCACCTGCCTATAGGTAGGCCTTTTTAATGCGACCGAGACGCGTAGATAAATATCACAATCACGCGGGATCTCTCTCGCCGCGTGTTTGTTCGCGATTAAGAAACGACCGCGATTGATCCGCGTGGAGAGATGTCGTTTTGGGTCTTTCTCTTGCGAAAAACCTGTTTGTGCAGCTTAAAAGTAATTTCAGGCAAATAAGTTCTAAGAAAGTCGGTCACTTTGTGTGGTCTGAGCGAGTTGACTCCGAGTCTCGAGACTCCACGCAAACGAAATAAATATCAGCGTTTGCGGACGAAAGATAGGATGCCAGAAGCAAGAGATGCTCGATCAAATTGTCGCATTTTTGCATAGAACTGACGTACCTGAGGCTCGTAAAGCTGGATATTAGCGGCAATCGAATATCTGTGCTTCCAAACGAGATGAGGAAGATGAAGAGCTTGGTGGATTTCAAGTTGTCCGACAATCCGCTGACCTCGCCGCCTGCCTCGGTGAGTATTTTCAGCAATTGAGAACTTCGACATCGTCCTTTTCCCGTTAATACGCGCTCTCCTACGCTTGACTGGCCCGGCGAATTTTAATAAGCCGTACACGCGGTATTACTTCATCCGTCGACGGCGTCTCGTTTCCTTTATGCGCAGTCCTCCTACGTCCTACGGAACTGATTACGAAATCGGTGCCTTTCGCTTCGTAACTTTATACTTGGACTTTATTAAATCCACGAATCGATAACTCGCCGCTCCAACACGTTCGATATCGTTCTACCGCTGTCGAGAAATAAGTACCAAGTATGCCTGGGGACACTAATAATACTGTTATATCTATAACTCTGGACATAGACTCTTATATATTCAATATAAAATATATACACACGTATTATATTTATATATATCCTAAGTATTATATTTATACATATCCTAAGTATTATATTTATACATATTCTAGGTTGAAAGTTTAAATGTTCGCACTTAAAGATCGAAACAATAAGAATGTCCAGAATTAGATGTCACTGTTAGTGTCCAGGTATTGATTTTACTTTGTGGAAATGTCGAATAGTGAAACAATATTCTTTACATATCGCGCAATGGAAGAGAAGAAATATCCCCAGACAACATAATGTCTCAAAATCGGGACATAAGACGTCTTAAAGATAATCTTTAAGACGCCTTAAAGACATTTATACGTAAATCGTCTGAAAAACATCTTAAAGATGATCTTAAGACGTCTTATGTCCCGATTTTAGACATTATGTTGTCTGGGATCCTTTGATTTTCAGTTATATTTTGGAATTTGCGTTATTTGGGTGGCACATGCCACATTAATTGCAGTAACTAACTGATATTTTCAACTTAAAACAACAAAACTACAACAGCTCTAAAGAATACAAACTAATAAATATTACTAAGTATGATCGAAACGTTCGAATAAAAACTTAATTTATTTTTTGATTATTTTTTGATTATAAGTAAATCATAAGCGCTTAATACCTGCTATTCGGCTCTTATTGTCCTTAGTAATATTTATTAACTGATATTTTATTTTAATCATGAGAATTATTTTATTGTTAGATTTCAAAGAGATTTCACGCAATTATCAAATGTAAAAAGTTTTATTTTAATTACAAAATTTATTGAAATCTTCACGGACTGCCCAAGACCCGCACAAGGACGCGGGCGTACATGAGACAAGAAAAAGCGACTCGCCACTTATTCTACCTCATCGAACGCTTCGAAGTTGCCGGTGACACGGCCTGTCACCGCTCGGCGAGGAGTTTCGTTGACGGAAAATCGGTTCCTCGAAGCGGAGCTACGCGTGCTCGCGACGCGCCGATATCGATCGCTCCGATTAGTGTTAGCGCAGTTCGTGCCTTAAGTTCTCCGTCGATGATTTCAGCTATGCATTCGCGGGCGAACGCACATTTTCAAGTACTTGGAGAGGCAGGCAGCGAAGCACGAAAGGGCCAGAGGCGGTCGGGCCAGACGGACGCCCCTGGACACGAGGGGCCACGCGACGTTGGACACGAGGTCTCATCGACGTCACAACGTCGACAGCGGGTATAGCACCAGCGACGGTGTCGACAAACGTTGGTCCCAAGAAATCCACAGCGCGGTTAGTTTCGCCGTCGCCCTCCTGGCCTTCCCGCTATCGCTCCATCTCTTATACTTGCTCTGCAGCTACCTCCATGCTAGGCTGTTCGGCCAGCCGACAGCCGCCGAGTCGTCCGCGGACCTCTGATCCGAATCCGAAGTGTAGATATAGCGGGTTGTGCGTGAATAAATCGTAGCGCGAACGCCGCTGCATCTTCTTTCATTCGCTGAGGGGAGTTCGAGAAAATTTAACGTATTGAGCCATGTGACAAAAAGAGAGAGGAGAAGACTCTTTTGCTTATTGACGAGGAAGATATCGGAAATGAAAGAAGGAAGATATTGCAGCGTTTGTGCTTCTGCTTATATATACGTATAATTGAAATATTTATTGTCGGTGTGTGTAAAAGGGAATACGTAGAGGAAAGTGGGAAAGCGTAGATTCGCATGGAAAACATAAAGTATGCTTCCGCTAAGTGTCCTTCTCGAGGACGAACGCTGTATATTGCTACGAAGCTTCTTAGTCGCTTCGTTTTCACTCCTATGATTGAAATCGTTCTGAGAGCGATGTGTCCTTTTGTACACTTTTTGTACGAATCCTCTGTAAATTACTGTACGAAAAGAGATGTCATTATCTCGGAATAGTGAAGAACGAGCGTTCTCGCGCGTTTGATGCCTGAATTAATCATGATTGTACGAGAACAAGCGCATGAATAAAATGATTGGGGGTATACACAAAACGCAGCCGTCAGTCGCCGTTCTATATATGCCTCCTGTTGGCCATCCTTTTGCGCGCAGGTGCACGACGGCGAGGTTCGCGGCTTGTGGCGGCAGGATTGCTCACCGCTCTCGATAACGCTGCCGCACGAGGTAGGCGTGAACGGATCCTGCAGCGGCACGTCGACGCCCAGCACGATTTCACCCGGGGAGCACACGTCTCTGGAGGATGAGCTGGGCAAGGTGGGTTGTTACATAACACTTCGCCGAGGAAAAGTCAGTAATTGACATTCCGATCGTTCCGTGATACGAGAGAAAATGAGAGCTGCGGAATGAAAGAGATCGATCGTATCGGAAACGAGTCTCTTACTTTCCTTTTAATTTCCTCTCACTGGCATGCGCGATTTGTCCTATTGATCACGAATCCTATGTAGAAATTTCCCGCTTTTGCGAGATTAAAAGTCTCTGCTAAATTAACAGTAGATTGAACAGAGAGATAGATATTTAAAACAGATCTCGAAAATGAAAATTACCGTGCTTTTAATTGCCGGCGCGTTTATGGGATTTAAGTTTCGATAGGTGGTCTAGAATAGAGAAGCTTTCTACAAAGAGTTGGAGAAAATAGCGTATAGACATAAATATTGAATTAATAATGATCGTGGAGACTTCCGGGAGAATAAATTTTTAAAACTATTGTCGAGTTTCTCGCGCGTTTCTCGCGCGATTTAGCGATTTCAAGAGCTCGAGCAAACAAGCCAAACATTAAAGCATACCACAGAATCTAAAGGATGACATGGGCGCTATATTTAGCTGTCGAATAGATCTCAAGTCGAGCCACGGCGAACCGTCGTTGGCTGTCGCTCAAATCTCGTTGAGGCCTTGACCCAATAAAACGTCATGTTAACGACGTTTCCAAATTATGAATACGTGATGCATCGACATTGGCGCACTAACAGCTGTATGACGAGTGAATCCGCCGCGATTACTATCCTTGTCATTGTAGAATTGCAGAAGCCGATCTTTCATCGACAAGAATTTTTTTTATTTGGAAAATCAAACTTCATGTAATACAAAAATAACAAAATATTATTCTTACGACTTGGGAATATATCGAGCGCGTTATTATTTTAGCTGCAATTTCTAAATTTTTAAACATAAACGGGACTAAATTACAAGTAATTCAATTTGAAATTGAAAATTAGTATTTAAGATTAGATAATTTTCTTGAGATATCTTATAAAAATGTTAAAGATTGAAGTTTACGACCTCACGCAAAATCTTTTGCAGGCGATGATACTGCACGATCAGCTGGAAAAGAGGAGACTGGAGAGGAGTGCCTCGGAGAACGGAGCGGATATCAGAAGACCGATGATCTCTGCCCTTCATCACACATCGATTACGCCACCGGGGTGAGTGACGAAGCCTCTCTCGCCTACGACGGGCCGGTGGGTCAACCACCCCATCCCGTCGTGCGCTTTCCCTCGAAATAAACGTACGGACGAATGAACGAACGAACGAACGCGTCCCCTCGATGTTTTCCATTGATATTGTGATACGGATTATCACCCACACGCGATGGTTCACACATATATACACACATGCATACCTACATACATACATCCATACATAATACGTACACTTGCATGCGTGCATGTGCATTATCGTGGCTAGCAATCCTTTTTTTACAGCCATCTGGACTCCACGCATCTGAATCAGTCGCAGCAGATAGCGTCCGCGCAAACGGTACACCCACTTCAGACACCCCCGACGAATCTCGCCACGCTGGTGAACGGAGACGATAAGAGGCCGTTGAATCACATACAGACGTACAGGTAACTCCGCTTTGTGCCCTGTAACCGACGGAAATCCTCGTCCTCGTCTCTCTGAGTTTGTCTCTTGTCGCGTTTGCGTTACCCACGTTGTTTGTTCATCCAAACCGCACCTGACTGCTCCGACGGACACGCTCCGGCAGGGTCACAGCGATAATTACGCGTCAGGAGTCGTGAGCGATATACGCTGATGAATAGTGCCGCGTCAATCGTCTTTAGAGTTCAAGCGATTGGATTCTCGAGACGATTATAGTTTCGCAATTTAAGAAAACGTACGTTATTTATACATAGAGACGTAGGAATTGCGATGTGAATAACCGTTTTCTTGAAAAACTAACATTAACAGTGAGATGAGAATGAGATCTAGTCGCATTTTAAGAAAGAATTCTTTAGATGATCAGATTGTCAGATCTCTGACGATCAGGACTTTTGACTTTTATCCTAAGAAAATTGGAAAGTTAACGGATCAAGATATCGGTACGCGAAAATCCTACATTTGACAAAGGAAGAAAATTATTGCATCAATAATTTTATGTTTTATATTTTATATTTCTTAGCACTTTCGGTATTTTGCACAAATAGTCATATTTGAAGATACATGTCATAGTTGCTTTACTCATCCATACCCGCAAAGACCATGAAATACATTCTTGAGAATCGTCACATCATGTTATCGTCACGTCATGTTATCGTATACTTGAAAATTACAAATTCTTTCGAATGGATTCTTAGGGAGTACAAGGAGGCTCTGAAGCAGCAGAGGGCCAACGAAGGCCCGAGTGTGTACAGACCTCGTGAGCAGGTGACACCGCCGGGTAACGAGTCGCAGAACAACGAGACCGATTCGAGCAACAAGGAGGGGATTGCTCTCACCGGCAAGCAAATCTTCAACGAGGAGAACGCGCTGAAGAGGCCGGTGCAGAAGGTCACGCCGTCGCGGATCAACTACCAGAACACGCCGATCATCAACGGCAGTAACAGCGAATACAACAACAAGAACGGGAAATACCTCGACCAACCGTACAAGAAGCCCAGCTCGCCCATCAAAACCTCCAGCAGCATCCTGTCGGCGAACGCGAGCCCAGCGCACGCGCCCAGGCTTGTGAAGACCGCTGTTGGTTACGTGGAAGGTAACACTCGTCCGGAACGAGTAAAATCGAATGCGCAATTGGGTCGCGTCTCGAAAGAATATTGCTGTTGAAGCGTACAAGTTCTCGGAGAGACATTTTTTGTTGTTTTCTTATTTAATAAAAAAGTAGTTATTTTTATACTACGTATTATAAAGAACATCGTGAGCTCTTCCAACATGTCTTCCCTGCTGCGTTCCATTTTCTTAATGAAGTTAGGGTTAAATTTATATCGAGGCAATATTCTCTCGGACGCACCAATGCCGACGTATAACATGAATTCGTTTCTGAGCGAACGAACTTACAGTCAATGTATAAGAGAACCTCTCCGTTCCACGGAAAGCTTCTCTTATACATTCTACATGGAGAAAGAAGACTCGATTGCACAATATATTCATAGTGTGTATACTTTTGCCAGGCAACAAGAGTCCGAGCCGGAACGGCGGCAGTCCGAAGTCGCCACGATCCGTCACGTGGAACAGTAATCTGCCCGAGAAGTATTCCTTCACCATGAGGAGAGAATTTGAACGTGCCAAAGAAGAAGCTGATCTCATCGAACAGTTGAGAAATGTGAGTACTGACGGAACGACAAGCGGTAAGCCGCGAGCTTTCGTACCGAAAGTTGAAAGTTCATCACGTTCGTCTCTTTCAGCACATAGAAACGAGATTGAAGATGGCACTGCCGGAGGACATCGCGCCGGCGTTAACGGACGGCGTGGTACTCTGTCACTTGGCCAACCACGTAAGACCAAGATCGGTCGCCAGTATACATGTTCCTTCTCCCGCTGTAGTGAGTGTCTTTACAGAGGAGCGATTCGCTCTTCCACTTTCGTAGTGTATCTCTCAGCGACGAGGTCGCGGGGTCACGGTATACTGACGCGTCGACGTGTTCTTTTGCAGCCTAAGCTGACTATGGCGCGATGCAGGCGTAACGTCGACAACTTTATCGAGGCGTGCCGGAAGATCGGCGTCGATGAGGTAAGACGTCGTCAAACTCGTTAATTAGTTTCAAGGAAATTTGTGCTTCTCTTTCGCTCATAGGGTACATACTATACGTACACACACACACTATGCATGAGACATTCTGTCATCCGTAGCGTGCGACATCGTCGAAAACACGTTGATGCTTCCAAAGTCGAAATGAATCGATCCGACGGGAACTTTCTTAACGAATGGCGATGTGGCGAGCGTATTATGGCAATGTGAAATCTGAATCTCACGCTGTCTGTCTGAGCGCGGTGTGTGCTTCGTCAAGAGTCGAGTGTAGAAATGGACAAGAGGCTCTGTGAACGAAAACTCACTCTTCACGAAGCACGGATTGAGAACGCTTCCGTCGTCTCGCTGAGACCGGACTTCCCGAACCTGCTTGGTGAACGGTCAAGCAGGACAAAAATTTGTCGTACATTATTCGTAACTCAACATCTGTGTACGTCGTGACTAACGCTTCGGCGATCTAGCCGCTATTTCTCGATGACACTTCCAGCAACTACTCTATACTAGTCAGTCCCCGATTTGATTTTGAGCCGATCTCTCGATCGAGCGTGAATCGTTGTTGAAAGAACATGAGATACGAAGACGGGCGTATATGATTGCGAATATAAGACGAGGGGAAGGAAAACGGGAGAAGAAAATTAGCCGAGTATGCGAAGAAGCTTTAGTTGCATGCGCCTAGAATCCAGTTCGCTTTTGTGTCGCTTCTTCGGGGAACAGTCTGTACCTTGTCTCGCCCTTCCTGCCGTCATATCCGATCATTTCATTGATTAACATCCACGGACTAACTAATTCCTGAGCTGTATAAACGATATCCGAATAATTTTCACCAATCGTTGTACGAAATAATATGTAACATTATCCTTACCCACGCTCTTCCTTTTCATATCCTTCGTTCGCTCCAAAGAGGGAACTTTTGGTACAAAGGATAAATTGTAAAATCATTTGCAAATTAATCTTGAAATACTTGAAAAAAAATTGAAAAAGGGCTCTATCATAAGTTCTTTCTCGGTGGCGAGCGACTTCCTCTTGCGCGACACGGTGATAGGGATGTGGCAGGGTGGCTATTCCCCGAGGAACGCTTTGTTCTCATTGGTACGAAAAAAATAGGGTCTTCCTCGAAGAGAAATATGCGTTTAAGTAAAGTGATATCTCGCAGTGCGGTAAAACGTAGAAACTGGGACTGAGTAGTATCGTTGTTGGTGTTGCAGGAGGTGTTATTGGACGCGGACTCAATCATGGACGTGGGTTACATGGACACGTACGGGCTCGAGGATCTGGCGCGTCTCGTCACCGCTCTTCTCCTTGTTCGCGATGAGGGGGAGAGTGGTACCGAAGAACCGGCCGCAGCTTCACCCCGTACGATTCAGGACCGCGTTCTGTCCGCAATGCTTTTTGCAACATTCCTATCCACCCTGGTACTGCTCTATCTCTTCCCGATCCCCGACTAGAAACGATCAGGAGGACGGGATGAGCGACAGGGCATGAGAGAAAAGAATATGGTGGAGCGGCGAGCTACTGACACGAACGGAGGAAAAGAGCGCCGGAACGGAAAACACGAGATGTCATCTCGGAATGCGGTGGCGATTCTCGGAGTCTCCTTTCGCAGGATCTTTTCGTGATATCTTTTGCCTGGCGCGAAACATCGCGGCGGTGACCCTTTCCGATGACGACTCTGAGAATCGTCGTCCTGTTCGCAAGAGCACGCGACACTTTCGCCGTTTGTTTCTTTGTCGATTAAGTACACGGAAAAGGAAATTTGGTTGATTTAACCGGATGAACGAATCAGAATTTCGATTGAAGTTACCTGTTTGAGTTGACAAGATTCTTTTGAAACAGTTACAAGTTAGCTGGAAATCTTATTTGTTAATCAGAATCTCGTTAACTTGAACAAAATTCTGGTAACTTCTCAACCGGAAATCTATTTAATTCATATTTCATCATAAATTTGGTTAATTCAACAGAATTTCTTTCCCGTGCAGAACGGCACGCTCGGTTGCTTTTCAATTCTGCTTGTACTTTTGTTCGAGCGAAGTGTCGCGTGGTAGTAGGACGCGCCTACGACGTCGAGGATTCCCCGAGTGACATTCAACGGATCTGCAAGAGAAACGATAGAAAAAAGAAATACTTCTTTGAACGTTTAATATATAGGCGATACGCTATTCTCACGTCTTCAACGCACGCGTTATCTTCTTGCGCGCTGGACAATGGAGTATCGTCGACGTCGAAGCACTCTGCGATTTTTTAAAGTGTCTTTCGGAGCGTACGAATCAAACGGACGGCTCGTCGCCATCGTCTCGCGTCTAGGCACTTTAAAAAATATTAGAACATATCTTCGGCCGTGTGCACGAAGTCGCCGCGTAGTCCTCGACTTCGAGGCGGAGAGTACTTATCCCTCTTTCTCTTTTAAGAATCGATTTATCACGACAGCAGTTTTAACAGGGTTATTCGCTTTTTTCGACCTCCGTTTCGCGGGTTCCCACGCTCGGCGGCGGAGACACGCGGGCGGGAGATCCCGTGGCGGGCGGAGAATTTTCGAGGATAGTTCTTAAGTGTCGATAGGCAGCTTGACGAGACGTTCAGTCGGCTATACGTAGAGAATCGTTAAGTGTTACGTAAGTTCGTGCTTGTTTAACTTTTCGGAACGAAAGGCCTCCTTTCTTTACCGACGACGCGAGTAGTGCGTGCACAGCGATGTTGTGCACGCGGGTAGTGACGACGAGACGATGTCCAAGAGATAATGTCCGTCGCGAGAGCGCGACCTTCTCGAGCGAAACCTTTAATTTCGCGTTAGTTTCTCTTCCCCGATCTCGCCGGGGTGTTTAACGCAATGGAAGGAAAAACAAATCAAAGAACGCAATCAAAACCGAAGGCGCTCGCATATCACGCATTTGGTTGTCTCTCCGTGAACGTGTACCTTACTGATTAATTAGTTAATTTTCGTCGCCACTTGTTTGCCAAACAAGTTAATGTTCGTCGTCGGCTTGGATTTGCCGGCGAAATTGATATTTTGATAAGAAAAAAAAAAAGAAGTAAAGGAAGAAAAGGATAGAATGGTGATCGAAATCGAGAGCTGGTGTGCAATACTCGTTGAAGAATCGTATATAAGTCGTATAATCATCCCACTTAGCTGTCCGAACTCTCGGAAAGTAATCCATTGCCTTCTATATATACGATGAAAAGCCTCAGAATTCCAGCCGGAAGTTTTAGCCGGTATTGCGACATCATTCTCTGCGTCTTTAATACGCCTTGGGTCCGCGGTTAAGTAGTCCCTCAGGAAGAGAAGAAAGAGCGAACGGAAGAGATTAGCTGTTCGATGCCTTCGATGGTAGTATTTTTTTAAGATTCGACCAAATGAACCGCCTACGGCTCTTTCAGGATTGGTGGGTCTGTGATAGGTAGCCTGCGAGTACTACAGGATTCAACAAGAGAAAAAGAAAATGGAAACAAAGGTGCTAGGGGTAATCTCTTTTAGTTGGAGGATCTTCTATTTTTTTTGGTAACGTAAGGGGATTTAACGAGGGTGTTTTTCATCGTTGTAAAAGTGTTGTATCGCGATTATAATTATATATTTGTTCGTCCATAAGTTTACGTCGTTTCTCTCGTTCGTAATCTCATAAGTTTCGACCGATCTGTCTGTCTTCTTCGTTGTCGATTTATCCGGCGCAAGGAATAGCGTTTTCGTTTCGCGGAGGGGAAGGATCAAAGTGACAGAGCATTACTCCGATTACTTCACCGGCCAAGCAATTCGATCGTAGTCTAGGATATCGTACCTTGGATTGGAGTTACTTTAATCTCGACACTCATTTTGCTCAGATCCCAATATTTGATTTATTTTCGAGCATAGGATCACCTTTGTCTCGAATCTCTCGCCAATTGATCGTAACGAATGAACAAAGAGTCTGTGTGTATATGTGTGTGTGCGTCCGTGCGTGTATGCGTGCGTGTGTATGCAAGTCTGTAGTACATTACAGGACCCGAAACTTTAACTCGCATAAGTCATCCAGATTTCGAGATCCCTGGTACACTTATTATCTCTCACTCTGTCGAGTAATAGAGACAGCTCTAGAAAATATTGGTACCAAGGCGAACCTTCGAGATCAAAGTAACCGCAAACTACGCTACACGACGGTAGAGACACGGTGCCTGCTACCTGCCAATTTATTTTCATAAAGACACAATAAGAACGTAGAGAGGGTATATATCATCTATAATATATATATATATATACGATCGTATAACTTATATCGTAATGTTTAAGAGAACGCTCCGCAGATTTGTAAGTGAAACAAGATCTCTGTCGGAAAAAGAGGGGGGAGGCACGGACGTTTTATAAATAGAACAGAATCGGTACACAAACAACGGGCTCTTGGCTCTTATAGGTCCTTTGTTCTTTTGTAATTGATTTTTAATCTCAGAGCCTTACCATTTTTGTACAAACAACGGACCTCTCAGATCGTACGTAGCCTTTCAGTCCTTTCCAGGGAAGGACAAAAAGACACGCGATTCTTCGATGTTAATCGCCACAGTACTTATCCGAACGTAGTGCCAAATATCCCCCAGCGTGTTCTCGAGGAATCTCACCGTCTCTTCCCGTTTCTCCGACAGGCATCACGTGGTCGGAAAAGGCTTCTTTCTTAGCGTGAAGTGTAACAGTCCGCGTTCGTCACGACACGAATCACTCTCGAGGGCGCACAAGTGGAATTTTGTAGAGAACGAGCGAAAAGAGATACGTAGAATTTCGTTCTTGTACGACTATTTTGTACGAAGCGGGGGTCACAGCGCACCTTCTGCAACAGGGGGCGACGCCCTTCGCGAGAGACTATCGTAAGCGTAACATATATTTATATACGACGAGAGCGTATCGTTGCGAGAGTCGACACGCGTCGCTACACATCGTATTAATGATTACATATGCCAGTGTATGCCAGTGTATCTTTTCTAAGGGGATGCAAGCTAGGCGAGTCCCGTATCTTCCATGATTTTTCACGACTTACTCGGACTCGGTCCCTGCTCGATCTTGCCGATGAGAGACGTGTGCTTTCTTCTGCGGGATTCGCCGCGTCATCTCCACGGCCGTTACTCGCGTTTTCGTTTCGCAGTCGTCGAGTGTCTTGCACTTTTTCTAGTCTACGGTAAAATAGCATCGTTAGTTGTAAGTCGAACCAGCCGTTCTCTAGTCACAGAGTTGTTTCCTCTTTCCTCCACTTGCATTTCCCCTCCGACGCATTTTCTACCGCGGTATATAGTGGCTTCTGCGTGTTGCATTCGCGTCCGATTCGCGAGCGAACCATTTGCCCGCGGTTGCACCCGTTTACTTAATCCATCAGCTTATGTCTATTTCTACCAACTTTGGTTAACTTAACCGGCTGATTATTCCAACGAAATTGACCAGTCGCATCTATCAAGTCTGACTAACGAGAAATGTGATTGATCAATTCCATTGGAATAACCAACCGGTGAAATTAATCAAAGCTGGTAGAAACGAGCATTAGTCAATTTAGAATGCAGTCGTCTCTTCCCTCGCTGTTAACGCTTAGAACGCCCGGTGTTTGCATCTCGCGAACCCTCACGGCACGCGCACGTTACTTTTGTACCTTGAACTTCAGTCCGGGAAGTTTACCTCTTCTTTGCCGATCTCGCATGGAAAAGAAGCTTTGATTGGATTTATCGAATTTCCGGTGAGACATAAACGAGTCAGAAAATTGCAGTTGAAGTTACCAGAGTTTTGTGAAATCAAGACTTCTGGTTGACTTGAGCAGAATTTCGACAACTTCAATCGGAATCTTCTGGTTCGTTCATATCTCATCAGAAATTTGCTCAATGCAAGCAAACGTTTTTTTCAACATAGATATAAAAATATCAGATCCTCTTTGATTTAGTACAATAGCGCGTAGAGGCGACGATACGCGAAGCATCGAAATCGATACCGCAAATTTCGTGGAAAAAGGGAGAAAGATTCCTTGCTGAAACGAGCGCGAAAATGTTGAGAGAATCCGCCCGAATCGCAAGGTTCGATTGCGAGCGAAACCGCATCACCGGTGGACAAGTTACACCGCCGGGCGTTCCGGATGTTAAACGTGATTAGGCGTCCGCTAATAGCTTCCGCACTGCGGCCTAACGAGTGGATCGTCCATCGCGTCCATTACGGAATAACGCACGTACGTGACGGGGCGAGTCGGATATTCCATTACGCTTAATCATCATCGATCATCGCGACGAGTGCCTAACGATTCACCGCGGACGCGACGGCCGCGTTATGTCAGTATTATATATTCTCGCTAGAATTCGTGGACGAGGTGTCGCGAACTGCCCGAGCCCGTGCCACTTAAGACTGGATTCGAATTTTTAGCGCGCCGATGTACTTTGTGTTGCCGGCTGTACGTAGCATGACGATCCACGATGACGATCCGCGAGATCGCCCGAGACTGTTGGCGCGTTTCAGCACATTTATTTGTGTCGTCGAGCGAGCATCGGTCAGATATGACAATCTGTTAATGACACAATTAGTGATTACTGTGAGGCAATTAGTAATTAGAATCTTTACACGGAATCTTTGCACAGTGATCTCGTCTGGAAACACTTGTATTTTATAAGATACAAATGGGGGACCGATCTCGTGGATCGTCGCATTGGAATCTTTACCATTAGCTTTCGCTTTCGCAAGAGGCTACATCACACTAAGCATATCCACGACACAATGAGTGAGCGGAGGGAGGAAAGAGATTGGGTAAGGAAGTATATACGAAATCATTCCGTTGCGTTAACTTGTATAGTTGTATAATTTCTGTAAAGAATACACATACACGCGCGCACATATAAACACAGACACACACGAAGAAAGCTTATATACAGATATATATAGAGATAGATATATATGGAGACAAATGTATAATTCTCGTTGAAGCTAATTCTTTTGCCGCGTTTCTCTTCGTTTTCTTTCTCTCTCTCTCTCTTTGCCTCCTCTCTTTCTCTCTTTCTCTTTATCTCTTTGTTTTTGTTTATATTCTCGTGTTTTTATACATATGTAGGCGTAGAATTAAATTATTCGCTAGCTGGATAAATCCACTTGGTGCTTGGTCTAGTTTCGTTCGTTATTGTTTCGCGTAAGCTTCTGAAGCTTCTTGTCCGTGCTTTAGGTATGTCAGCATATTTATTCCGCGGCGGAAACGCCGCCTTCGTCCTGCACGATCGATCGTGCCTGCTCACCGAGCTCAGACAATAATTCCTTTCTAAATAGATACGCGTAGCCTAAGCGGTCAGGATCGGCGAGCCTAGCACGATCGACTCGTTCCAATAGACAGTCCTTGTGGCTTAATGAAGCGTTTAGCGTCAACTGATCTGATAAAAAGCGCACATACAACGTATTTATACTGCCGTGGTTGTCGAGTCGGGTCTGATTTTGAGTGTCACGCGCGAATAGAGCTTAATAAAGCTGCAACACTGTCTTAATCGGGATACTAATAGGTATCGACGAACTTATTGTTTGGAACAGCTATTAGTGCATCAAACACCGCTTAAACACATCCGCTGATTCACTAATCGCTCCCTCAAGTCGCTTCTCCCTAATCGCTTCTCGAACTTGTTGATCTCGAGGAAGAGACTTGGAACAATTTGCACGTGAATGCATTATCGACCTAACAAACCAACACGATGACTTTCGGGGAAGTATTATCGTTCAGTGCTATCCGGTTATCAGCTAACAGCTGTGGTATACGCCTACAGATTTTAATCAGAGGCGTTCTGTTACAGCGCACAATGAATAACGCAGGAATGACAATCGAATACAATAGGTAGGCATTTTTAATTAAGATCTTACGGGTAATTGAGAGGAAATTCGGTGAATTCAGCTGAACATTGTCCAATTTCAACGAACGCAATTATTCGACCCGACTCGACACGAAGCATCTCGCCATTCAACGATCGAGCTGAACAGCTTAATAACTGATGTTAACGCGTAACTTTGCACAAATCGATCGCTCCGCATTTACAAGTCTTCGCAGTGTGTTGCTCGTTTTTGTGTCTTTCAATATTTATTTATGAACACGTTACACACATGACACTCCGCCATCCCTGACGCTTATTATACGAGATAACAATCCCAGTGGCGAGACGATAAATATGAGATGATAATCGCATCCTTCTTTGCTTTTTATTTTCATCAATTACAAGAGAAATCGAAATCGCCTTCTTTGGTTGTCTCGCCGCTCGGACGACAGCAATATCATCGACCTTGTTTTTCTCTTTTGAGGTATTACTCTGTAACGTTGATTGTATGGGTAACATAACGATTGTAATACTATCGCCATTTATAATAAAATATCCTTTTCTTAAATTCTCACCGCGTTTTGCAAGACTGCACCCTGCGCAAAATTAAACACACGCGCGTCTTTTGCTTGATTTGTTTCAGAAACTCGTGTGCTGCGCCAGCGACGTTCTCGAGGGAGGTCGCGGAGTCGTCCGTGTCGCCGTCACTGTGTCCGAGCTGCTGAGGTTCCACCAGACACGCTCGCCTCTGCAGACGTCCTCGAGCATGCCGACCCACGTGCCTGCTTAGCGCCAGACTATCTAAATTCTTCGCAAGATTGACTGAAAGAGATAGGGAGGGAGGGAGAGAAAGAAAGAAGAAGTGCGAATTCGCAGAGAACTCGCACGCAAAGGAAGGCGGAACAAAAGGAGAGAACGTGCTCGAGACACGAAACGAGAAGTCCAACGTTCTTAGAGCTGTCCCGTCGATGTCTGAGAGACGCGTTGACGGATCTGTCAGACGGCCAAACGATATGAAATGCCGATTTGAAATCACGAACGTCCAAGGGACACCCGGGCGTCGCCCGAACGTCTTCTGGAGGTCCGAGGGAGAAAGCAAGAGGCACCTTTTGCGGATTTCCGCACGTTGTCTGTCTGAGATATATTTCGAAGCTGGCTCTAGGATTATAGTCCTTTAGTATACGGCGGGCGGGTCGCTGGTCTCGATTGCGAGGTGATTGCTCTTCATCGAACCGACAATAAGTCGCTCTCTGTCGTCGCGACGCGTCCTCGCGCGGCACCTTGCGGCTCCGTAGAACCATGAATTCGAACGTGCGCGCTAAGCGCGCTGAAAGCTCGCAACGTCAAGATCCAGTACTTTTGTATTATCCCCTTTCGCGACGCGACACGAGGCAACCCGCGTCGTGTGTTAATTGATGAAGCCGAGCGGTTGGAGACTTTCTTATCAAAAGCGACGCGCGAGTCGCGGATTCGCGCGCACTAACGACGTAACGAGATAGACTGCAGTCAACCATGACACTTAATTAGATATGTAACGAATTTTATATCGAGAAACGAGACCAGATCTACGATGATGCTTATTTTTGCTCGTAGTTTGCGGCTTCTGGTCCTTCGACAGCGTCCCAGAACGCGCGCCAACGCGGGACGCGGATTTTGTAAACGCAGGTAGACGGACACGCGGAATTAGGAGACGATTAGGAGTAGAATCTGCCGGAGCTTGTCGAGCTGTGTGTCCATTCTTACTCTCAAATTGTTGTGGAGAAATCAAATAATGTAATCGAACGTCCAACCTGGAAACAGATATCATATTCGTCCTTTTTTCTCTATTTCAGTCTTTTATACGGTAAAGAGCATTTTTTACTTTGGTTTTCTAAAGATGGTTGATTTTTTCAAGACATGAAATTTTTTTTTACTTGTTATAAGTGGACATCACTAACCCGTTACTCTTCGAGAGATTTCGATAGACACGCAGTCTCGAAGAGCTCAACTTCTCGTCGGGCTGACGGAAAAAGAAAAGGTATCCGAGCTTTCGATTAGTGTAGTCCTGTGTATCCGTGATTCAATATCTCGCATGCATGCGTCGCTAAGGCTCAGTTATTAGGCTAAGCTGGCAACCTGTAAACACGAGCATCCCAAAGACGTGTCCTGTCGCACGATCATTTCGATCACTTGATCGAACGTCTACACGCCTTGCACGAGAATAGCATACGTAAGCGGATTCGTTTCGAAACGTTCGACGTTTCTTCAAGAGTTTTTCTTCCGTGCATCGAACTGTCGGCACCCTTGAGAGTACATCTTACTTATCGGCGATACTCCTCGTACTTAATCGAAGCGACGCGAAAACAGAAGTTGTAACGACCTTTTTAATTCTTTCAGTTTCTCGATAATTGGTCCGAAAAATATGGTGATCATGAAGACTGCTTACTTTGCATCGGCTAAAATAATTGCGATAAAAATAGTACAGATTACAAGTATTATCGAAAAATTCGACGACGAATTATGCGATCTCTCCCGTCGCTCGTATCGCAATAATATGAGATACTTACTATATCGACCAGTTACATTGCTTCCATCATTTAACTGTGCATCTCTTGACGCGCACGGATATCTAACTTAAGAAACGAATAGAAAATGTAGGAGAAAGACGCGTGTACTCGAGGGCCGATGTTCGATACTCGTTACTTGTGTGATTCGCGCATGCGATCCTGTTTATCCTCTTTATTTTATCCCCCAAAGAGGAAGTATCGTGTGAAATAGATCAAAGGGTAGGTAGGTATCTGTACGTGCAGAGACGGTAAGCTAGTTAGGTATAGAGTTTCGAATACTACCGGCGATGCTAAGGAACGCGAACGATAACGCACCGCCGGTAACGACGACGATGATAACCGCCGACGATGGCGGTGAGAGCCGCGGCTGATTACCAGCAGGCATCAAGTGAGTGGTTTAGGAGGACGATACGAGTTGAGGCCTAGGTGTCGAACTGGTACTTATCAAGCATTTCGCGATCTTTACTTTCGGGGTGAGTTGCATCGACGGGCGCTAGAGTCAGCGATAACTTCCGATATATATCATCGTGGTATTATAATTAAATTAAATGGTAAATTTATCTAGTCGAGAAAAAAGCAAATATTTTTGGAAGATCCCGAAACAAGAATGAAACATGAACTATCAGTCCTGACAAATAGAATTTTTTGGGAAAGAAATTTAAAGACTGAAATTTGTCTCAACTCTGATGGTATATATACAAACGATTAAATTGCGTATATTTTACTTGAAATTGATTGACGTTGATTATTAAATTTAAATGAAACGGGAGGAAGTTGATCAGTTTTGATGCTAGGGATGCATCGAAGAAAAAAAGATTACTCAGATTAAAGATTAAACTTCACAGATTGATTATATTCTTATCTTACGACTCATGTATAGATGTACTTCCGCGAACGCTGCTGCAACGCAACCCTCGATCCTTTGCATTCAACTTTCTTCGGCTACCAACGGCACAAATTGGCCAGATGGTTTTCCTAGTTTTTCCTAGGCCAGTTAAGATAGGATCCCGTATTTCGTTCTTCATTAGTGGAATTCTTGGAATTCCCGTGAATAGCTGAAATGTTGACTATTAATTTGCGCGCGATTGATGCGGATGACCCCATTAGATGCTAAGTCTAATATCATTAATTGTAATTGTCTATTGTATCATTACGATGCTTGTCTCCTTTTTCATTTCGACCGATTTCTCGTATCAGCGTGGAGGAGGAACCCGAAGGATCTCAAGTGCCGTGGTCAAGAGAGGAGAAATGAGACGAGTTGTGGTGAAGTGAAGTGAGGTAAGATGTGAGGTAGGAGAGCGCAGAAAGGTCGATACGGTATCGGCCGACACGGATAACTGTAATGTTCATATTTATTGTGCCAAAGATATATGTGTTTTCTCACTTACGTTCGAGGACGAATTTTACTCGAATATAACTTCGTCCGCGAAGTAAAAGCAGAAATCAAACGTCGCGCTCCGCATGAGCGTATCGAGATGGAGAAATATTTTATTTTACACTTGTCGAGATATCCCTTTCGTTAGAACGACACCCATCTTCGCAACAAAATGTGTATATGATGTGTGTAGGAAATTTATGTTTTTTTTTATAGGTTTTAGTTTCGGTTACCAATTCGAAAGGCGGTACTTTATAAAAGTACATAAGCAAAAATATGATTCGTTATAACGTGTTTGCGATAATTTTCGTTATTCTTTGTATACTTGTTTGCGCAACGATTTGCACACGTCTTCCCCAATAAAGTTAGGAGCGCATCAAATCTTCACGGACTTGCACACTGAGAAAAAAATACTTGAAAGTTTTATTTACAGAAATAAATCTTATATCTCGCAAGTAAATTTTTAAGTATTATTTCTCAATGTGTACTGAGGATTTCCTTGTAAAAGTTTATTTGTGAGATATATAGTTTATTTATACAGAAATCAAATTTATTTCACAGAAATAAACTTTACTTCACACAGAAATAGATTTTATATTTCACAAATAAGTTTTCAAATATTTCTTCTCAATGCATAATCAGTTGTTGTGACAGAAGTCGAATGACAGTAAACGGTGTAAATAATAGCTCTTTGTTATACTTTTATCTGATAGAGAGATAACAGTATAATAAAAACATATTTTTTCTGAATCCGTTGCAATTATGACGTCGGATGTCTCGTATACTATCATTTCGGCTGCTATCATATCATTCACACAAGTTCTTAAATAGTGCCCCGCAATCGTGATCATTTAATGCGGCCTTAATTTAAAAAAAAGTGTGTACAAATCGTTGTACAAACGAGTATATGTTTGGTTTCGATACAGCTTGAACATTCGATGCAGTTTGGAACGCAACTGATGGTCAAATGCGAGAGCTTCTGTGGAAATTAATCAAAAATCAATTTTATCATTGAACCATTTTTGGCTGCGTTCTAAACCACACCGAGAGGAAAGCGTCTAAACCGTATTCAAAGCAAGTGTACAAATCGTTGCTTCTGTATTCTATGTTTGTTTTTATCGAACGTATCACTTCACGCGTCTTCATGTACCCGCGCGACGAAGTGAAAGAGACCAAAAAGGAATTGCTTTCTGTCGAGGTACCCCACTGAGACCTACATGGTCAAGGGCAAAGTGGAATTGATCGTCTACGTGAGAAAAAGCAGAAGAAAGAACGATCACCTCTCGCGTTTACGTTATCATTCATGCAATATAAATTTATTTAGATCGTTTTTATTTATCTCTCGGGGAAATTTTACTGTAAGACATCACAGAGAGAGGTGAAAAATCGATCACGATAGCGGTTCACCCATTGAATATTAAGACCCGTATCAATAGTCGTTACTGGAAACTTCTTTCAAATGAAGTATTCAGATCTGAGTTCAGAGTTAGATGAGAGTTTTTTAGTTGAATTGTGATATAATGTCACAAATAACATATAGTTCAACTAAAAAACTCGGATCTGAATAAAAATCTGAGTGTCTCACGTGAGACAAACCTCAAGTAACAACTATTAATACAGGTCTAAGAGACATGAGAGAGGAAGGGGGAAGGGGGAGGAGAGAACTTGGTAGCGGGATGTAGCACAGCTCGTCCTCGAACAGTTTTAGATGTTACATTCGCGCCGAACACCACGCGCGTAGTGGCGCGCCGCCGTCTTTCCTCCGTTTCGGTTCGTACGGAATATTCTTTCGCGTCGATCGTAGCCGCACACGTAGGGATCTGCAAAGCGACGTGTCACTGCGGAATTGTATTACTCACCCAGATTAATTGTGTTCGTCGGAATGCGCGGAGCAACGGCCGCCGTTACGAAATCCAGCGACTCGAAGCGCCTCGCTCGATGCGTTACTCGCGGAACAGTATTATTAGCGGGCCCCGCGCCTGATGATCCCTTTCGGGCCTGCGCTCTTTTGTCGCCTTTAATTATTTATGTCTTTCAACTACCCGCTCCCGTCAATTGCGAGCCGCTCGTAGCCGGCGCAATTGAAGAATGGTCGGGATCTGTGAGCTCCGCAGCGAAATCGTTCTCATTCATAGATTAATGAATTCAATATCTGTAGCAGTAACGATTATATCTGTGTGAGACAGGCCTGAAAGGGTTGAGGCGACGCGTCACACACAACGTGGAAATATATCTCTTCTCGCGTGTGGAGACGTCTGACCGTTACCGAAAACTGCCATTTCGCAATTTTCTACCGCTCGATCGAGGCGCTTCTAACGGCTAGTCGCTGTGTGGCGAATTATTAAACGCACTACGTAATGTACGTATTAAAAATTAACGAATACCACGTATGAAATAAAAATTGAAGAGAATTATGCATCGAGAACTCGTGCATTTGTGCGGCGACACCCTTCGCCTCGATACTTTCTTCCTCTCCTTTCAAATCCGCTGAGAACATCCGATTAGAGAATCTCAAGGTTCTATGCGAGCTATGATTTAATGTCTTTTTTTATTGATTAGAAATTTCGATGGGATTTGGAGATTCGAAATACCTGCCATATTCCGCGTCCTGAAGTTAGCTCCCGTCTATCGACCATCTCTTCCCTTCGCGTAAACTTGTGAAAAGTTTCATTGAACTCTTCAATGAAATCTTCGTTTCTTACGAGTTCGTGTTAAAGGAAATGATGCGCAATTGTGGCCATCCTCTTAATACTGTCATTCGAACAAAATATAAATCGATCGTAACGCAATATTAATTAATAATCGCATATTAACGAGGACACCCGTCGAATGCTTCGAGCTACGTTTTCTAAACGCATCGCGCATGAAATTATCTTCCTAATTTAATCACTTAATCACCTCACAGAGAAATACGTGGTTTGTTTGTGTTTCGCACTTTTCGCACTCAATCTTCTCACTCTTGCTTCTTCCAGCGTCTGAAAATCCGTCTGTCTTGTTCTAAGTGCAAAAAGTGCAAACACCAGACCTACGGAATATTTTACAAGCATCGATATCTCGATTATCGAATATGCTAGTTATTGATTGGCGGACAGGGGCGCCTCGCGATTGGCGGACTCTGTCCTTTTCAAACGCGCCGATTGTTCTCGTAGACATGACGCCATTACTATTGTCCATTTCATTTTAAATCGAGGAGCGACGCGCTAAGATGCGGAGTACGCGGCTAAGTTGTTTGAGATTCCCTTTGGATGTAATCAGAGTATTTCGTCGCGCGCGACCGTAGATCTTTCTTGCTTATTATTTGGTGACGCGCGCGATCGTAAATCTTTCTTGCTTATTATTTTGGTGACGCGCGCGCCGCGTAAAGTGACCGCGCGCGGTACTACGCCTCGGTCGCCGAACGGCGTGCGCCAAGTACGCGTGTTGTTTGTGATTTTCGTACGATGTGGACACCTCGTTCGTGTTTTATCGGGTTCTCGTCGGCATCGCGCTGCTCAACATGACGCGCTCCTCTCGCGAATCGTATCCACGCGAGTGTCAACGCCAGCGAGGACCTGGAATCACCATGGAACGGCCCAGATGCTGAATCGAGAATGTTCCACGGAATCTTCCATAATGATGGATGGAGACACGCCGGGACGCGGGCAGCGATACATTTTCGACTGTGTCAAGTAAGTTATTGCACAGAATACTCTCGATTTTGACGAACTCATCGAGAATACGGAGATATTCCGAGTCGAAATTCAGAAGCTACTCTAAGATCGGTATTCATTATTTGATAAATAATCAAAAAAATTTCGAATCTCTGATTACTTGTTAATCTAACCTAACCTTACCTAATCTAAGTCATAATATTTGTTTCATATTTGGAGACAGTTATAATTTACCAATTTTTAAAGAAGATAGATAAATATAACAAATTCAGAACAAAGAGGACTTTATCTTACACTGAAAAATTTATTTGGGTTAACCAAAATTTGGTTAAAATAGAGTCGAACAAATGTTTCGGTTGTGAGGGTCAAAATTTCGTTCTTTCTATCAAAGATTTGATTCTCTAAAACTAAATCTGTTTCATTTTCGTTTCAAAAAATCAAACCTTTGGTTCAAAGTACCAAATATTGGTTCTCATAATCAAAACATTTGTTCTACCTTATTTTAATCAAATTTTGGTTAACTCAACTAAATGAGTTTTTCAATGTATATAGCACAAATATCCAAAATATATCCCCAAGACGTCCCAGAGATGTGTGATATTTTTGTGACGTCTCTAACAGTATTTTGGACATTTATGTTGTATGGGATTTTACAGAACAATTGAAGAAGAGAAATAATAACATTTTAAGAAAATCTATATTTTCTTTTTCGAATATTTTGTATTACACAAGTATACAAATAAAATAATAGTACACAAATAAAAATGTGGTTGTGAATTAACCAATTGTCTGGTGAAATAAAAAAGAATTAGAGTTTTGGTTGGAATTACCAGAATTTTGCGCAAGTTGACAAGATTCTGGTTAACCAGAACTTGGAACTGTTCCTAGTTAAACACAGTCTTATTAACTTAAACAGAATTTTGATAACTTCAATCGTAATTCTGGTTCGTTTATATTTCACCAGACATTTGATTAATTCAACCAAGTTTGTTTCCTGTGTACAAGTAAATATATTATCAGTACTCAACTGTCTCTTAATAAATATTTCTTAGATATTTTTTTCTCTCAGTATACGGATTTAAAAAAAATAAAAATAAACGACTAAAAATGATAGTCCAAAATTAGTACTTATAATTAACAAGCAACTCTCGAGTTGAACTCGGTAACTTGAGATGAACGTATCTCGAGATGTCGGAGCGTGTGCATCGAGGCATCGACCAGTATACTCGAGTTCTCCTCTCTCTCTCTCTCTCTTTTTCTCTCTCTCTCTCTCTCTCTCTCCAAGAGGAACAGTCCTCGAGAGAAAGGGAAGGGAACAGTCGTCTGTCAACCCTCCTCGTGGCGGTTGCCAACCGTGGGTGTATCCCGATGGGCGGAGTTTCAGACTGCTTTCAACTCCATTTTGTTCCACGAAGGCGGTCTGCAGATTCTCTCTCCTGCACCTTCCCCTCTACCACCTGGTATCACCTTGGGCAGCGGCGAGCGATCGACCTCCTCGAGGTGGAGGGAACACGGCGGCGCACATTGCCGGCCAGGAGTTCGCGATACGCGTGTGCCGCCGCGCGCTCCTCGTTCTCGCTTCTCAAGCGTGTGTTGTCCCGACGGTTGTCATGACGGAGCTGTCGAACCGGCTGTCGAGTCGCCGGCTGCTCGAGCCTCGCCGTAACTGATCGGAGAACCTTGCCGACGCTTATCCGCTTGTTCTCGAGCACTTAGCACGCGTCAGAAGGAGCACGTCGCCCGTAGAGTCGTCGACGAGGAATCAGCGTGCTGCTCCCATGTGACATCAACACCCACGCATGCGGCATCGTGGACCTGTAATCAGACGGAAGTGTTGGAGTGTTGTCGCGATCCCTGAAGAGAGAACTGATGCTGACATTACTTTGACAAGTCAGTTGGGTGTGAACAATGGACATCGCGCGAATAATTAGTTCCATAAAAAATCAGCACGCTCACGGTTGACTATGACACATACGCGAAAACGTGGAACTGTAATCGTTTGGTTAGGCCCGGTTGCGCAATCCTTTTTGGAGAGAAGTGAGGTGCAGCTGTTTCAAGGTATCAGCTGAGCGTCTGTGATGGAGATGGTAGCGACACGGACAATTTTAAGGTGACATTGACACGCTCCAGCGAGATTCGTAGAACTGACAATCGGTCATCGAATGCCGAAATTCCGTAGCGACTGATAATCTCCAGGCTTTCTCCGTGAGAACGTCTTCGACCGGACGACGAATCAAACATCAAATTCCAAAGCGATGCCGCGACATCGTCTGGTCGTCTCGCGTCGTTACGTCACGCGTCAGCTGATCGTTCCCGCGATGGTGCTGTGCCACATAACGGAAATGACTGTGTGAAGGGTGACTTTCACGATTAAATTCACGGCGTGCGAAGGTAGCGAAGGCTTTTTTTGCGGCCGAGCTATAAATCGCCTCCGACGAACCGGTTGCGATTTTGCGCAGGAAACAAAAGTGGGATCCACGCGGGAGACGCAAACGGGCAGCCGCGGTTGGTAAACAAGGAGGGCCGAGAAGTGGCCACGTGAACTGTCAGCGAGTTTGTTTACCTGCTCGAACATAGGTACGTGGGTGCGTGCGCGTGTGTTTATGAGATCGGCAGTAGTGACCTCACACGACTCGCCAGACTGCGATGATACGTTCTCCTGATAACAATCGTAGCGATATCGCGCCGTTGCCGGCCGACGGAATCGTTGACACGCGGTTGAATTGCTTGTCGGACGCAAGAGTGTTGTTGATCGGCGATCATTATCGCGCGTTTTTGTTCTGACGCGAAGGCGCGATCCTCATCAGCGGACAAAGCGATGATCGAATCCATCGTATCCTGAAACAGAGAGAGAGAGAGAGAGAGAGAGAGAGAGAGAGAGAGAGAGAGAGAGAGAGAGAGAGAGACAAAGGTAAATCACAAGAAAATTTCATACAGATGACGCGATCACTGGACACTCGAAGATAACTGGCCAGCCTGTGCAACCACGGTGGAAAAAAAGTGCGTACAATAACGTCGATTATGTGCGCGACACTCATCAATTTCTCAATCACGAAATACTCGAGTCCCCGTTCGTCCCTGAGAACCGGTGGGACCACGGAAAAACCAGAGATCCACTTATCTTCGAGTTACCGGAAGTGTTGCGTCGGACAGACGAGAATGCGTTATCTGGCTTGAGTGTAACTTGCATGTGACTCGTGTCACGACTCAAAGTGCTCGAAAGAAGAGACCACGACACGGTCACCACCTGACGACGACCACTAGACTGCAAATTAGATTCTTCCTGCATCAAAGTTCGAAACATTCAAAAATCCGAATCGCGTGAATATCGGCGAAAAGAAATCGCAGAAGAAGACAAACGAAGAAAAGTTCACGACTTCTTTCCTCGCGAAGATTAATGAGAGCCACACGAACGAAGATGCGGAAGGGAACGCCGACGACGAGGAAATCGGCGTGATTTCAGTGAGAAAACGTGAGCCGTGCAGGCTCCTATCTCGTCTGCCGTCCGTTATCCCGGACACTCGTAGTGGTGGTGGTGGTAGTAGTGGTGGTGGTCGTCGTCGTCGTCGTTGTGTGGCAAAATTACGCGAATACCAACGATGGACCTCAGCACGACGCCCAGAAGGGCCACAGAGGGCGTCGGCGACCTGCAGAAGACCCGAGTGGCCAAAAGCGTCTTCAGCATCCGCAGCCTCGTGGACGTGGAGGAAGCGGAGGTGCCCGCGCAGGAGAGCGAACGCTCGCCAAGTAAGTCCGTAGACTTTAGATCCACCTTGGAAACCTCGCGTCGCGCTAGAAACAAACAATTGCCCATGGTTAACAATGCGCGGTCACAGGGGGTACGTCAAATTATACTCTGAGGCCACCTGGCAGGCGGCTTAATTATCGGTCTGATTAAGCTGGGAATGTAATTAAGAGCGCGATCCGTGTAATTTGCTGTCGTGCAAAAAATTAGCATTGCGGCTGCTTAATTACACGCTGCCGGGGAATTCTTAATCGCGACGTCTCCCTTTCCACCACGAATTGATATCGGAGCGGCTTGAGTGGCAGCTCTCGTGTATACGTTAACGCGTATTTGCACACAAGTCAAAAGGAGGCTATGTTGGTGAGAAGAACAAAAAGAGAGAAAAGAAAACATGCATGCCATGACGCCCGCGTTACGTGAGGACGCGAACACGCTCTGTTTACATCCGTAAATATAGGGGAATCTATCAACGCGGCGACCCGAGTTTGACAGGCGTCAAATTCCGGTGACTAATCATAATTTAGACGAACTTGGCGTCGCAGTGTGACAACCAAGGAAGGGTGTAATCAAGCGACTTCCACTGAGGATCGCGACGATTTTCACTTGACAATCGCGAGTCGAGAAATCGTTTCGCGGAAACGTGTCCACGCGCGAAATGCCGTTTCGGATTCCACGGCGGCAGAAAGAGAAGAAGGTTTGCTCGCGCGTGAGACCGGAACACGAGGAAGAAGATCGATCGTGACGAGGGACGATCGGTTTCCCTCGCGTCGATCGGCGGATCGAACGCACGACATTCTCGAGAAAGCCCGGGGCCTCGCTTTTTCCTCGCGAGGCGCCTTTTGTGCCCGGGATTCCGCAAAAAACGGCGGCCCTTATAAGTGCCGGCGGAGTTAATTAAGGCGCATTTAAAGTCGGTAGATCGCGATAAGACGGCGATTAACTCGGAATTAGTCCGCCCATGGATCCGGCAAAAACTGTATCGCCGTCGTTATTGCCGACACGTATCGACGGTGTAGATGAACGCGTGATTGAGACGACGCCAATTAGACCCGGGCTACGCGGCGAATTATTACGTCACCGCCGCCGTCGTGCACGTCAGTCGCGCATTTGTAAGTTGCGAAAAAAGAGAAAAAAAGCACGCAACAATAACCGGCATTGTCGTTGTCGTCGTCGTTCGTTTGCCAACGAGGCTGTCAGGTTTGCGATCACGCGGACGTTGAACGCAATTGTTGTTAGATGAACAATTTCATGCGAATCACTTGCATCATGCAGAGAGAAAGGCATCGTGATGGCAATCATATAGGTGACGACTGTACGAGTATTGTACGAGATTTGATCAAAAAATACACGGAATTTTTAAATTCCGCGGGCTGTATAAGTCCAATTGTCACAATTTTTTGTTATTGTGTTGGTACACTTGTCCCTGACGTATCTTGACATTGGTGGCTATATTGGATGCTTACTTTATTGTTGGCTGTCGAAAAGGTTATACGTGTTTTAGTATGCTCGGTGATTTTTAACTTGTGGAAGAAATGGAACAAAGAATTTGCATTAAATTTTACTTTAAGAATAGAATAAAGTGCAGCACCGCATTGAAAATGTTGAACGTTGCTTTTGGCGAATCTTCTATGAATAAAACAAGTGTTTACAAGTAGTACAAACGTTTCCAAAAAGGTCGTGAAGACGTTGAAGATGACGAGCGCCCTGGACGCCCCAGCACATCAACAACCGATGACAACGTCGAAAAAGTGAAGAAAATGATTATAGACAATCGCCGAATCAATATCAGAGAGGTTGCTGATGATATTGGCATATCACTTGGCTTATGCCAAGCAATTTTTTCGGACGTTTTGAGCATGAAACATGCAGCAAAATTGAACAAGGTGCTGATTACGAACAAATTGGCAGCAAAATTTGTTCCGAAATTGTTGAATTTTGTTCGTGAATTTTTAGCCAAAAACTACACCGTTATGATGCCTCAGCCTCCGTATTCGCCGGACATGGCCCCCTGTGACTTTTTATTATTCCCGAAGCTAAAAAGAACCATGAAAGGACGACGTTTTGCCAATATTGAAAAGATAAAAACAGAATCGCTGAAGGAGCTAAACGTCATATCGAAAATTGCGTTCCATAGAAATGCTTTAAAGATTGGAAAAAACGCTGGCATAAATGTATTATATCTGATGGGGAGTACTTTAAAAGGGACAGAATTAATATCGATGAATAAATGAAGATTTTTTGAGAAAAACGAAGATTCCGCGTATTTTTTGATCAAATTTCGTATGTAGAATTGATTTATACAGTTTGATAAACTGCATATCGAAGGCCACTGAAGGTACACACTTAATTGGAAGAGAGATAAGGCCTATAAGAGCAGAATGCGCAGGATGTTAGTGTGAGTAAGTTTGAATGGAAGAATGACGATGTTGACAGTTGTTGGAGAGAGATACACGAATCTCAATTATTATTATTTAATTAATTCGTCCTTTCTATTTTGTAATCATTATAACTAAAGTTGAATGGTTACAAGCATTAAACTGAGAGAAGAAATATTTAAGAAATAAAAATATTTATTCGCGATGAATACTCTAAAAAGATATTTACTTAAATTTAAATCCCTTTATTTGAATAAACGATTACTCCCATGAAAAACTGAGGTTAGCTTGTAAGAGAATGTATATTTTTTATTAGAGAAATATTTAATATTAGTACAATTAAATATGTTATTAGTACCTGCTAAATAAATGTTTTTATTCCTTGGATATTTTTTTCTCTTAGTGTAACCACACTTATCGCAACTATTCAGTTTTGCAATCGCAATGAATATAAAATAGTTTAGCAAATTATACACATTAATTCTACATACAAAACTAGTCGTCATTTATTTAATACTGTTAAAACTGTTTGATTATTTATAACTATTTTATTAATAACTGCATAATATCTAAAATATATCTAATCATAAATAAATATATCTAATCATAAATTAACAAGCAACACCTAGCTTTTTCTCTGAATACAGACACTCAATAATTATTCATTATTGTTATTAAATTATGATTTATTTAACGCTCTGAGAGAGACGCTCTCGAGCGTAGATCAGAACATGAGCACAAGTTGCGAAACTCTCCTATGATTTTCAACCTTACGCCTCGTGTGTAAGATTGAAAATCGTGCAAGTAAGCGTAATTATAATGTCGAGGCACACATATGACGCCCGCTGTACATTCAACGCTAAACGCGCGATGAGATTACAGATTGTGAGAGATAATAGGAGGGTTGTTATGATTAAATTCGCGAAGAGGCATGTTCTCGTTGAAATATTCATATTCAAACATTCTACGGCAAATGTGTGCGCACGGTTGTGTCGAGCGTTGTGTAATTTGTGCGCTTGTGTGAGCGCACGGTTACGTCGATTTCTGCTCGATGCTAAAAAATGCGACCTATACAAGTCGACGCTTCCGACGTGCCGATACCATCGAGGCGTCGCAAATGTTAGGTGGAACAACAACAACACACAGTCGCGCAGAAGGAAAACTCGCGCGCGCGCGCCCGTAGCGAGCGGAAAAACGCGCGCGTTGCATCGGCCGAGTTTCCAGCCGGCCGATATGCAAAACACCGGCCGACGGCGGCGATAACGCGCATTACTCGACTTTCTTGGTGGCGAATAAATAGCGAATTACCATTTAGTCGCCGGCCGATAAAGCGAAACGAGCCCGCGCGATAACGGAATCTCACTCGCCCTAAGTCTACCGCGGACTATCGGCTTGTTATCGGGTAATTAACAAGATAGCGCGATTAACAAATTACGGGCGGCGCGCGGGGTAACGCGCGACGGAGATAGGTTGGCCTCCACCACGACTGCACTCGTTTCCATGGCTGTACGTTCCAAGAGAAAATTCGTCCTCGGGAGGAAAACGCGCGAACGACCTCGTTCTGTCGATATCATTTCGTTGCGCTGTAAATATCTCGCTGTTTTTTCCAGCGTCCACGCATAATGTTCCGCCACGTTCATTTATTACAAAAAGAAAATCAAAGAATACGCCCTGCGCGCGAATCCTCCTCGTCCTCCGCCTCGCGCCAACGTGACGCGCAAATGGATCGTTAATTTTGCAACGAGTTTTCGTATACATTGTAACGAACGACGCGTCATATCGTCAGGACGATCGAATTTACGAGCACGCAATAGGAATTATGTTGTCCGCGATGCGGATAAGCGTAGATAAGCGCTACCAAATAAGAATTGCTAATCTAATGAAGTCATGGTGCGCCGACGAGTTAACTAATTCCTCCTCGGGAAATTGCAAACACGCGGAGAGAGTCGTCGTATCTTGAAAGGAAAGAGAAAAATAAAGAAAGAAAAGAGAAATGTAATTGCTATCATCGTCGCTCGAGGGTAACTGGTTGTCGCAATACTCAAGAAATATCAGACACGTCACGAATTGATTCCGAACTGATGTTCGAAACGTCGCGCGCGCAAGAAATAACGGAATGAAGAAAAATAACGGGGCAGGGGGATACATTGAGAAAAAAAATATCTAAAAATAAAGAATATTTATTCGCGCGCGAGAGGGATAAAGTACTAATAACATATTTACTAATACTAATACTAATTACTTATACTAATACTAACCTATATATATAATAGAGAATGACTGTATATTCTTTATTAATTCCTAAATCCTTTGACTAATCTGGATCAAATTTTATAGAGTTACTCTCTAGGAAAATATAAGCCGCCACATGAAACCTAAAAACATTCCTATCCTCGATTTCATCCTCTTGACACTTTATAATAATTCGAGTTTAGACGTTCTAGATGTAAGAAGTCCGACGGGTAATTTAAGTTAGTATGAAATATCTTTCAAATAAAAAATAGATATTTTTTTAAGATCTTAAATGCATCTTACAAGTAAACCTACTCAAAAGTTACACTCCAATTTCTTTCTAATTTGGCACAAATGTAGAAGTACAAAAAATATTTAGGTCATATTTCTTCATTTTGGCCCACTTTGAGTTTCACGGTTTATAACTTTTTAATATTTAATGTTCTCACTCCTATCATCAAGTGCAACAAAAATGCGTAAGAAATAAAATTGAATCCAAGATATAGACGGTTTTGGTTTGATGATTATGAATATGAAGTGTGTCAAATGTGTAAATTATTTGTATAAATAAGTGTGTCAAATGTGTAAATTATTTGTATAAATAATAAAATGTTTAAACAAAACATGTAAAAAGTTGAAAAAAACTTACACAAATAATTTCTCTGTTTGAGATTCGAACCATTTTTGACTAATTTAGTACAGGTTTAAAATATTTCAGTTGGAATCTCGGCTAAAGAAATTTAGAATAGTTTGTGTCACAGCTATGCCAATTTTGTTAAAATTATTTAACTATACCAGGTGTAGAAGTATGAAACCGGAATTTTTTTATACAAATAAGACGTCTGTTGTTCGAAAGTGATAAATAATACTTTATTCAAAATAATTTCCACTGTTTTGAACACATTTTTCCCACCTCTCTGGCAGTTTATGAATGCCGTGCCAAAAAAACTTTTCATCTTTTGAAGCGAACCAGTTATCTAGCCATTTTTCCACATTTTCATACGAATCGAAGCGTTGGTTAGCGAGAGCGTGTCCTAGCGATGCGAACAGGTGATAATCGGACGGAGCCAAGTCTGGAGAATAAGCCGCATGCGGTAGTAATTCCCAACTGAACGACTCGATCGTTTCCTTGACCCGTTTTGCTGTATGTGATGGGGCATTATCATGGAGCAAAATGACATTGTGTTGCCTTTTTGCATATTCTGGTCGTTTTTTAGTCAATGTTCGATTTAAATCGATCATTTGTTGTTGGTAGCGATTAGTATTGACGGTTTGACCAGGTTTCAGCAGTTCATAGTTCATAGTTCATAGTTCATAGTTCTTCGTTCCTCACGTCAAAATCACCACTTTTGAATTTTTTAAACCACTCGAAACACTGAGATTTACCAAGAGCATATTCACCGTAAGCTTCGACAAGCATTCGATGTGATTCTGCAGCAGTTTTCTTTAAATGATAACAGAAAATCAATGCTGTCCGCAAATCATAGTTAGTAGGCTCGAAACGTGACATGTTTAAGGTTATACAAAAATATACTAGAGAATGAAAGTTGGGGTTATGTTTGTTGACAATATTCGTCAGCTGTTAGGAGAATATAATAGCGCGGCAGTAGCGGTCTTACGGTCACTAAACTGAACGCTGGCACCATTTATAGGGGAATTCCGGTTTCATACTTCTACACCTGGTATCTTGTATTCAATTTTATTTCTTTTTGCACTTGCATTCTTTTGCATTTTTGTTGCACTTGTTGATGATAGAAGTGAAGACATTAAAAAGCTATAAATTGCCCGTGAAACTCAAAAATGAAATTAAAATTTTAACAAAATTGGCATAGCTGAGACACAAATCATTCTAAATTTCTTTAGCCTAGATTCCAACCAAAATATTTTAAATCTGTGGTAAATTAGTCAAAAATGGTTGGAATCTCGGGCAAACCGAAAGAGAGAGAGAGAGAAATCCGGAAATTTTAATTAAAATTTTAACAAAATCGACATAGATGAGAACTATTTTAAATTTCTTTAGTCGAGATTCCAACCGAAATATTTTAAATCTGTGCTAAATTAATAAAAAATAGTTCGAATCTCGGCTAAAAATAAATCCAGCAATTTTAATTAAATTCAACTCGCCCACTCCATCCCTCCTCCCTCGGAAATGTTTATTGGCGCTTATCATTCGAACAATTTCCGCGTTGCTATTGTGGGAATTGTCGATTTACTTTGTCATCCCGCGTCAGACGGTAACGCTAACGCGAATGATGCGTATGTATTTCGACGAGACGCGGGCATGTTCGCGGATAGTAAGCGAAATCGTACACAGTTATCGCCATATTAATGGCAGAGCGGGTATTATTAACGTGCCCGGGTACTTTGTGGTTATACTTTTAAAATGTGAGCTTAAATAATTACCCACGCTCGCGCGCGCCCATGTGTTGGATAAGCGCGGGAACACAGATAAGCGGGCGCCGAAGTGGTTGGTCGGTTTAATAATAATACCGCGGCGCAGCGAGTAAAAGTGTATTAAACTTACCTAGCTCGAGTGCGCCGCAGTAATTACTGTCAGAATCGACACACGCAATATTTCTTTTCTGCCGAAAGGCACGCGATTATTCGCGATTCTTATTTCCAGTGCGGACAGAGCTCTCGAACGCGCGCCTCGTTATTTTAGCGTCTTATCTTGGAAACTTCCCGCGTTCTCCAGATGAAATAAATATCTCACCATCTTACGGCTGTCCTGAGAACAAAATAGCATCTAGTTTAAATATATCCACATATATTGGATCAGTCAAAAAGTTGAGTTCGATTTCGAAATTTGATCTTGTTCCATTTGATGAAAACAAATTAATAAATTAAATTAAACAAATTGGTTAATCTGCTAAATATCGCAAGTGAAATATTATAGAAAACTGTGGCGAATGAATCGTTCGTTTTCACTGAATGCAATAGAATCAACTCAAAGGTCGAAGTGAACTTTTTAGCTAACCCAATATGTGTGTGTATAACTCAGAGGTAAATATTCTTAACTTAAAATGCATTTTGACTTCTCAAGTGGTGTGCTTGGGAAAGTTTCGTGGCAAGGTATTAAATTTCTTTTCATTTATTTAAACTATTGTGTCTTGTTTTAATTTATAACATATACGAATTAGATATATTTTGTATTCTATTTTATCAAATTCTTCAAAGAAAATAGCATTAAAGTGGAAGGAAATCTACTCTACTTAAGGAAAAAGAAGTTTGGTTTGATCAACGGAATTTCTGGTGAAATATGAACAATCTAGAAATTCCAATTGAAATGATTCAGTCTAAATTATCAAGATTTCTCATAACTTTAAGCGGAATTTGTGATTCGTTCATGCTTCACCAAAAATTCAGTTAATCCAACCACAAAGTATAGATATGCTCATTGGAAAGAAAAAAAGCCGCGTTGAAGAGATTAACGCAGCAGTCGATTAAAAATATTTGCCTATAACTCTTCCTTCCCTGAAAACACATCTACGAAATCGAGATTCGGAATGCGCAATTTAAGATACTCAGGGTGTTCGTGCGTCCGCAGTTACTCCACGAGCGCACGAACACACCGCTAGTTTTTCTATTTAACGATAAAAGCGCGCCGGGGGTGAGATGGCATGTGCATTGGCCGGCTTATCGCCGCCATATTACGATTCGGTCTGGTCGATTAAACGCTATAAATGGCCATGACAGAAGGTGTAATAGAATTGGGGTAACTCCGGGCCAATGGGGCTCCGCGATTAGGGGTGGTGGTTGTTCGTGCTCGATTGGCTTTCACGAGGGAACGCGAGGGTTGATGTTCCGGCGACCGGGGGTAAGCCACGTCTTTATCCTTCCATCGATTCCCGTTATCCCATTACGGGAACGACCCACCCTCGCGTTTAAAATTTCATCGTCCTGGAAACGTTACCGCGCGCCGCGTCGCGCCGTGCCGCACCGCGCTCTCGCTAATTCTCCATTCGAATTAGTGACCGCGTAATTGCACGGGATTACGGAAACTTTTATCGTCGGCCAGCACGGCGGGAACTTCTCGTTTAATCGCCCGCGCGCGTTTAGGGCCGCGCGACGCGAAAAATTGTGTAACATATTTTCCTGGCGGCGCGCCACGATTTTCTCCGGCCGTGAATCGTTCGCACCGATATCGGTGAAGCGACACAGCTCGTTACTCGATATTTGTAGTGCAGATTGTTCTATAAACGTGCGCGGTTAAATACGTTAATACGTAAATGCAGCATTCCGCGCTGCTAAAATTACCCACTAAACGCCGCATGACTGACGGCGCCACTAAAGATATAATCGTCGGCCGGGCTTCTCATAAGCGGGCGACAAGCAATCTATGGTGCTCGAGGTAAATTTGCAAGTTGATTAAGAGGATCAATAATTGAGGCGTGTAATTAATCTTGCAGAGTCATCGCGGTACTTGCCGTAATTGACGTATGATTTAATGTAAACATTATATAGGAAAAACGTGCCTTGCGCGATGCGTGTCGTAATTCCTCTCTCCTGCATTTTTAATATTAATCGATTAATTATGTTGATTACCTTTCGTATTTTTGCCCGTTAATATTCCGGATGATCGGCGACGTTGGCGATAGGCGCGTGTCGAAATGCCACCCGACTCGTCGGAACATTATATCTGCTTACGTTCGTGAACTTCTTCTCTGACTGGCAGGGAACTAATGAAACAATTTAGAGACCACTGGATAAAAAAATATAATCTTCCGCTTCAAGAAATTGATCTGCTCGTGTCTGTTCGACTACGCTGTCATCAAAATATCATTATTCTTTCGTGACTCGATTGTAAAGTAATTGTCGTTCGCCATAGAAGTTTTTTTTCGTGAAGAAACTTCTCTCTAATCGAGACACGCCAGTTCGCGAAAGCCTCTTCGGATAACTCCGAGAAAGCTAGACAAGCCTCTGCCTTCCGAAAACGGGAAATGCCATAGATCCGCGTTCCCTAGGATAAGGCGCGACGAGGTCGTCGAAAAGCTGAGCGTCGACTTCCACGGCTTCCCGCGCGACGATGTGCGGCTAATTGCAAAAAACAAAGAGAGCCCTGCCAATAATACGTGCCAGGCGGGCCGTAAATAATGCCGCGCGGGTTTTACGCGCCGCGTGTGTACGGTGCCGCGGTATCCGCTGATTGGTCGGCCCGGTAGAGCCGCTAATTGTGTTTTATTAGCGTTCACCCCCTTTCCTCTCTCTTCTCATGTTCTCACTGTTTCTCTTTCTCCCGCCCTCCGTTCTTTCTGTCCCTTCCCTCGTGGCCGAACATCTGCGGCCTTAGCTAACTAACCTCCCGCCCATGTACTAACTACGAGCGACATTGTTATTAAGGGGCCCTACAGTGTATCTAAAACTCACACACGCGCGAAACAGCGCGCACTCGCGAATGACACGGGGGTACCTCCGATCCTCGTTAGGGGACTGTTAAGGTATTACGAGGGGGGACCCGCGGGAACTCGCGTTCTCGTCGGCAGTCGACGGGAAAAGAGGAAGTGCACGAAGAGGACGACCTGCGTGAACGCGTCTAATCGCGCGTCACAGCAGCAGAAGAGTAGCGAATCGCGAAAACGTGCTTCTTAACGCTCTACTGCCCACTGTGACTCTTACAGTCACAATCCAGTTTCATCGTTATTTATCTCCAATAGGAATGTTATTCCTCGATTCCTATCTTGATTGATATGATGTGAAAATCACAATATGGCTGCTTTTTAGTATGTTGGCAGCGATGGTATAAGTTAATATTTACACCACCTATTTTGGAGAAATAAAAGAATTAGAAAATTTCACCTTATATGTGTTGAATATTTTTGTTTTAAACATCCTATGTACATGAAACATTTTTTAAACATGAGAAATTAATTTGAGCAGTAGAGAATTAAGGTTCCTTAAAGTTCAAATCGAGCTTTTACGAGCGTTTGGTACAAGTGATCGATCCCTTCGATAAATAGTAAGCGTCTGTTTGGTGTATGGGTATTTTAATGGAAATTATTTACTTAAATCTAAATTTTCTTTTATTTAGATAAAATAAACTATTGCTTTCATGAAAAGCTACAGTGAGGAAAAATACTTGCACATTTATTAGTGAGATATAAAGTTCATTCACAGAAATAAACTTTATAGAAATAAACTTTATATCCTGGAAATTAAGTTTCAAATATCTTTTCCTCAGAGCTCAGATTTATTATTAAGGTTTTAAGAAAAATAAATAATAATGTTGTATAAATATGTTATTAGTACCCGCCGAGGGAATATTTTAAAATTCTTAGATATCTTTTCGCGCGTTCAGTGTAAATGAAAAATTGATACCGATATGGAATAATTGTATTGTTCGTCGACAGTTCCTGCTATCATTTTAAGGACCTTCACCTCCACTTTCATAAGAGTGCTTCATTCTCGATTTTGGGTGAAAAAATTCAATTCCCGGACCGGGAATTGTTCGTGCGTCTCGAACAGCGCTAATTGACGATACGGTCGAACGAGACTCTCACGACTCTCGATCTCAAGGTCGAAACGCGAAATTGTATCGAAGAGAGCGCGGGGGAAGGTATTTCTTTACTTTCCCGGGGTTGGGTCCGGTCGGAATGGTCAAGGAGGAGGCGAGCAGGGGCGAGTCTTATTACGCTCGAGGAGAGTTGCCGGGTATGCTGGCGCAATCAAATAAATTAGTCGGAATTACGCGGGTCCTGGAGCCGGTGGTAGTGCAGGCGCATTCACCACCGGCGCTCGTATTCGCCACCAATTAGCGGAGCTTTATTCCGCGCCGAGTCTACCACGAATACGAGAACGAGCACACAACACACACAAACACACACACACACACACACACACACACATACCTACCATACACTTACACACGGTATTTCACCTGGACATCATCGGTATATCGCTCGCCGAGAAATTCGTGGCTGTTCTTCTCGCGGGATTCGCCACGATACCGTGACTTTCTCTCTTTCTCTCTCTTTGAGCATCGCGCAACCCTTTACCGGGCCATGAGACCCGAGTGATTTGCGACGTATCGCGGGAATTTGTTTATCGGCTCGGCGGCTAAAAGAAAGGCGACGCTACGAATTTAACGTACGACTGCGATCGTTCGCTCGTTTCTTCGTCTCGCTTATTTATTAAATGTCACTATGTAAGACCAATTATCGACGTGAAGAGAAACCGTATGAGCGACGCATTTAACAAAAACCAATTGATAAATGGGCATATAGAACAACAAATTTTTCTCTCGCACAATCTCTTCATTATTTCCTATTGGCATTAGAAATTTCGGTGAAATGCAGAAAAAAATTTGCTTGAACCAATTAACCAATTTTTGGTCAAATATGGAACGAAACAGAAAATTCCGGTGATGTTACCAGAATCATGTTCAAGTTAACAAGACTTTTGGTTACTGATATGTAAAAATTAGTAAATATTTACTTGGTGGGTATTAAAAAAACAGCATATTTACTTAAATAAAATTTTTTTAAATAAAATAAATATTTGCTTTCATGAAAAACTAAGATTTTTTAAGGTTTTAAGAAAATATATATTTTTTATTTGAATATTTTATATTGGTATAAGAGTAAATATATGCTTTCTCTCTGTTATACAGTAGTATCCACTAAATAAATATTTATTTCTTAAATATTCTTTCTTTCATTGTGTAAAATCAACATTCATAGTTCTTCATTATTTATGATTTCATTATTCATGAATTCATATATGATTATTTATTATAATTCTAGTCGTTAATCATTATTTACGCAGCAATATCAGTACACGACTCTCATTTATTAGTGCTAAATTATCCGTTGTTTTATTTATAGAGTTTTTCCACGCTTGTCATATAATTAGATAAATAATTATAATTTCCTGAGCTGAGAATGAGAAATCCCATAAATCTCTTATTATTTATCAACTTGTACTTGTAATAATTACTTTATGTAACAAGAGATATCAATCTCAGCAGTCGAATAACAATCCATGAAGACAAATCTAAATAATTATGTTCTTAGTGATTAATTATACTTTCAAACAAAGATATATAATTTGTAACCACGAATGTAAGCCTAACAAGCAAGCCCTTGTGTCAAGTATTGCGATTTGTTTCTCTAATAACTCGCTGCTTAAGGCGCGAGCTTCATCTTGAATATGCCAACTTTCCATTTTTCTTTAGCCTTTAGTCTTGTTATTATCTATCATAAACAACGGTCTATTATATATCCCGTGCTACTTTCTCATAGCGCACTGTTTTTTTTTTCGATAGCGCAAAATAAATATTCGCAAAAAATATCTGTCAATCGTCACACAATAGATCGTGCAAAGTGAATTTTAAAGTAAAAGTACCAATGCTCGGACATCTAATATCCATAATGTAATATCCGGACATGTAATGCCCGTATCTAATCTCTAATTTTAATTGTTTTAGTCTTTAGGAATATCTAAATTTTCAATACAAAATATGTACACATATATTTTATGTTGAAGATTTAAATATTTTTTGTATTTAAAGATCAAAACAGTAGGAATGTTCAGGATTCACTCTAGAACCCTAAACACTAAAAAGTTACGTAAATCTTAAACATGGGTCAATTTTACCTAGCGCATTTTCATTTACTTTCGTAAAAATGATAGAAATTCAATGCTTCTTTTTTTTAATTAGAATATGGAAAATATCAAGAAATATGAATCTATGAATATTTTTGCGATTCAATGAAGTTATAATGAAAAAACAAAATATATGTCTTTGAGAACGGTAACGTTTGAAAAATCAAGCTGAAGTTGGGATGAACTTTACCAATGTTTAGAGTTCAGGGATTAACTACGCGTCGGGGAATTGGTACTTTTGTTGCAATAGCTCTCGCTCAAATCTGCTCGCGCTGTTTTCTTTCCTTTCAAATGTCGGTTCGGCAAACCGCGCCCCGCATAATGCACGCGGTGGAGTGTCGTAATTCGCTAACGAGCTTACAGATCACTCGTGGGAGTGACGACGGCTAGCAGCCGTTCGGCGAGGAGAAAGAGAAAGAGAGAGAGAGAGAGAAAGAGAGGGAAAGAGAGAATGAGACAATAACGGCGAACAATATCGAAGAACAACGCGAACGGCAACGCGACGCGGAACAACGGTTACCGCGTATTCTTGCGTGACGTGTTATTAGCCGATTGGCTCATTAATCGCTCCGACGGTCCGAAACAGCCGAAGCGTCACCCTCTCCTCCTCTCTTCGCCCTCCACGCCGCCCTGCCACTTAGTCGCTCGCATAGGAAGTAATTGCTAATCGCTAATTGCGAGTGCAAACACTCCATCCAATTAACCCCACCTAGGAGAGAGAACCCGCGCGGCTCTTCCACGGCTGAAAAGCCGCCACCCCTCGATGTACCGACTTATTTCCAATAAACAACTTACATCCGACGCGCGGTTGGATCATTACGCTTCCTGCGGTTCGGGTGAGTTAAAACCGACGCGTTTGTTGTTGCGGACGATGATCGCCTAATTGACGGACCGATTGTTTCACAACGCGCGGGGTCCGTTAAGTGCAAACGTCGCGATTCTTTACCTTGAGAAAAAGTACTTGAAAATTTACTTATGGGATATATAGAGTTTGTTTCACAGAGTGGAGTAGAATGGAGCAGAGTTTACAGAAATATCCATAAAAAAGTGAATTTACTTTATTTTACAGACATTTATT